TAAGGAAAATATTTTTAATGTCTTTCTTTGTCTTGAAAATAACGTATGGTATTGTAAAATATTTTTGGTCTTTTTGGTTTTAAAAGAATGTTTTTTAATTGTAAAAGAAATAATTAAAACCCTAGTTTCTAATTAAATTTAAAAATTAATTAGTAAAATAGATAAAGTATGATTAAATAAAAATATTTTTTATTATAAAAAATAAATAAACTATGTCAAAATATAAATCTAATGTATTTTATATTTTTTCTTATTTTTCTAATATTAAATAAAATATTAAAGAAAACAAATAAATAAATAAAAAGGGAAAAGGAAAATAAAATGGGCCAGGGGTGTGAATAGTGAGCAGGGAGTATGAAAAAGCAAACAAAATGCCAGGCCCATGTTGGAGGCCCAACGGTGCAAAAAAAATCAAATGGAAGTGAGAAAATATGAAGAAAAAAGAAGGCAAAGGGGTACCATTAGGGCTCGAACCCAGGTCTCATAGGTTAACATGCGCACGCTTTACCGCTGGGGTGGCTATACATCTGTTCATATAAACAAAACAATAAATATATGATACAAAACACGCCCTGATTACACTTCATCTTCAATCTCCAGCCAGACCACCTGTAACTTGTTCATTTCTCATCTATATGAAAAAATGTAAACATGAAACTTGTGTAAAATTTTACCACGATTCCAGAAATGTAAACAACTTAAACTAATTCTCAAGAATGAACATGAATTTTGAATGGTACCAAATTCTGACCTAATTTTTCCAGGATGTTCAGATTCAAAATTCTAACTACTTAAGCAATATAAATGAAATCTAAAGACATGGTTAGCTTCAGAACAATGATGTCTACATTTTTCATTCACAAATTAAACACTAATGATGCTTGTATGAAGAGTTCAAAGTTGAGATAACTTACCTCAAAACTGGAAATCGTGTTCTGTAAATGAGCTTGATTCAAGTTGATGTAATGATCAGGTTAGCTTCCTTGAGTCCCTAAGAAGCTATTCCAATGGTTACTTTGAGTTGTAGGTACTTGAACTTGCCTGGAGAAGTCAAGATGCATACCTCTGTTTTTGAAAATGGAATATGGTGATAGAGGTGTTACAGAAATGTAACAGGGTATGGGATTGTTTGTGTATGATGCTTGGAAGCTTTTGGAAGCAAGAGGCCAAGAAATGCACGAGTAGTTTTTGGTTTTGGGATTCCTGGCCAGAATATGCAACAATGGAGGTGTGAGATGCAAATCTGAGTTCTTTCTCTTTTCAGGGCTCAAGCATGCGTGTGTTTTGTGACAAATTACTTGTGTATGTATAAGCAAAAGACTTGAGTTCTTGAGAGGATCAGAAGTACAAGTTCTAGACTGATTGTTATGTTACTTGATTTTGAAGAAAAGTGGGAAGTATGGTTCCAAGAGGAAGTACAAGCATGGGCTGAGTGATTATAAGTGTTTAGACAAGCTTCTCTTGAGTTATGGGACATGTATGATCAGAAGAAAACAATTTCAAGGCTCAAGAACAAGTTTTGTGCAAAAAACTACTTTATCAAAATGGCATTGTGCACTTTCTTCCCAAAATGGATATAAAGCATGGCCTTGCATTGAATGCTTGAATTGAGACCTCTAACAGTTGCACAAGCAATTAATTATGGAGTGCCTAATAAGTTTTAGGCCTTTAAAGTAGAGATTATGCAGCATAGGTTTGAAATTTGAATCTTGTTCATCATAAAATGACTTGTATTTCAAGTGTGAAAACCCTAACTTCATCTCTTCGATTCTCCCTACTCAAGAATGATCTCAAGGAGTTCTTTGACATTTTGGAAAGCTTGTAATATTATCTACAACCCCTCTTTGAATCACTTTGAAAATTCCCCTTGGAACTATATGAAAAAGTTCCATGAAGTTAGGTCAAAATCATGACCAAAACTAGGGCAAAATTTCACTAAGTGTCCAATTTCAACACCATGACTTTAGGAATTAATAACTTTAGATCCAAGAATTTTTAGGAGAAGTTGTATAAATAAATGTTGTAGATATCATGGATATCTAAAACTTTCATGTTGAAAGTTTCTTCTGAATTGTCTTGCATCATGGTGAAAATTTGGCCCAAAGTTATGAAAAAACATGAAGTTTAAACACTTAGAAAAATTTCTAATTTAGAAAACTTTGACTTTTCAAAATGAAATCTTGACTTTTTGATTTCTTGATGAATAAGTTTCATATTTTGACATGTTTTGATGAATTCTGAACTTTGACATTGAACTTTGACCAAAAAGTCAAAGTTAGACTTTTCAATGTACAATTGACTTTTTGATCAGTTGACTGAAAATTCACTGTCAGTACAAATGATCTTGAGAAATGTTTTAGGTCATGCCATTAGGTAAAAATGATGCAATTTAACTCTTGAAATCATGCTTCAAACCAATTTACCATTTTCTAGGTCAAAAATCAGAAATTGCCCTTTCTCAATCAAAACCCTAATTTTGACCATTTTGCCCTTTTGTTGATTTGATCAAATTTCTTGGGGAATTATGGTCCAAATTTGATTAAAATTATATATATATATATGGGTTTATAATATTTATGTGGATTAAAAATTATGAAGTTTGACTGTAAATTGGTCATAGTTGACTTTTTCCCCAATATAGTTGATTTTTAGGTCAACTGCTCAATTGATTGAGCAAAAGTGTGATCCAAGGCTTGAAACTTGACATGAGTAATCTTGGGGGTCCATAATGATTCATGAAAGTCATATGAACCATTGAAAGTTAAAATATCCTTGTGCAATCTCAAACCCTAATGTTGGTCATCAGTGCTTGAGGAGATGTCTTGAGCTGATCAACCCTAGTGCAGTCTTAAACCAAGAGAGGTCTTTGTGAAGAAATATTTGATAAATGAGAGGGAAAATTTTGGGGTACAACATGGTTGCTACGACCAAACCAGGTTAATGAACCCTCGTTCAATAAAAGCAAACAAACTCGTGAACGCCACGAGGAGAATATAAATCCCTTGAGCAACCTCGTGAAGGTGACGAGGATAAGATGAATTTCCTGAGCGGTTTCATAAGTTCCGAGGGCATGGGATGAGTTCCCTGAGCAATTTCATGAGTTATGCAGGGAGAAAGTGAATTTCACAGGCCATTTCATGAGTACCACGAAGAGAGGTATGAATATCCCGAGCAAAAATCCCTCGGGTAGTGAAATTCATCAAGATTTATCAAAAAATCCAACCATAAACGACAATAATCACTGGAAAACATTTACTTGATTAAAGTTCGTGGGGAGTCTGCGGCAGAAGTTACGGTGGTACTTACGGTTAGAGAAAGAGATGGAGGAAGATAGAAAACTAAGGACGCTAGGGAGAAAGGAGAGAGCGAGAGTTTGGAAATGTTACAAATGAATCCTTAGACACTATTTATAAGGATGGCACGAAAGACAAAGCATCGCGTCGAACAGCGCATCAACCGCCCATCTGCTCGCCGCCTACGTGCTCAGGGTCATAATGATCCCTACTCCCTAGGCCATCACTATATTCCAAAGGCTACACCATGTGGCTACATCCTGCGAACTTTCGTCTCCCCATAAGTCGAGGAGAAGATTAAATTTCTCCTTGCGGAAACTCCAATCTCTACTCAAGTAGTCACAACCAAAAGCTATACAATGTAGCTTACAAAGTAGACATCCTCTGAACTTTCGTCTCCCCGCGAGTCGAGGAGCAACTAAAATGTTCTCCATGAATGAAATCCAATTTCCGCTCGAATAGCCATGCATAAAAATGACCCTATCCCTTGATACAGTGGGAGACCCCGGAGAAACTATGCTCACCATACAGGGAAGTTGGTCTTAAGTCATAACTCCTTTCATCAGAAGCAACGACTTAGGGGTCTCTTGTTCTGGATTGGGCATGCACTTGGCCCAAATATCATACAAGGCCCAATACAACTATGCCGCATGAGAAGACCAGTAAAAGAGTCTTCCCTTAACCATGTCGAGCACTGATTCTACTTTTCTGGTCGACCAGGCTTTGTCCTTCGGGGATAACCCCATGACTGTCAAGGAGGGCCAGTGACGCTTAGGAGTTCCTCGTGTGCATCTTCCACTCCTCTCATTGACCAAGATATGTCCTCCAAGGACAACCTCACAACTGGTGAGGAGGAGAAACGACAGTCAGAAGGTCTTCGCGAGCATCCCTCTCGTAGGGCTGACACCTAACACCACTGAATGTCACGGAGTCCTCTTGACCTCAAAAAGACTGCATCCATATCCTCTTGATGATTAGGAGGAGTCCATTCAGGTTGGGGACCACGTGATATCCCTCACTACGCACGTAGGACCTAGTAGTCTCCATTTTGTGCCAGCTTGCTGAGCCCAGCAATGGGGACCTTGGCCAAGCACTGAGGGCTATAAATACCCTCTCACTTGAGAGAGTCAGGTATTCATCCATTCACTCATACTCTCATACTTGCTTGCACTTGCTCTGAACCTTACTTTGGCATCGGAGTATCTTGCAGGTACCCCCACTTCACATTCAACCGCTGCTCAACTTGAAGCTTATGGGATTTGACAATCTCTTCTGATTAGGTACAATCAATTCGTAATTAAAGGAGATAATAAAATTATCATTAAGCATATAAAGTACTCAATGAACAAAAAAAGTTAGACAAAAACAAGCATAGAAAAGGACCAACAATGTAAAATGGTTTTTATGCCATTTTGTTAAAGCCACAACGAAATTTCAATGATCCATAAAAAAACTAAGGATGCAACACATGGTTTTGAAAAATTATGGTGGAAACCTTTAACCTTGTTGAGGTATTAGTTGGTTTTGAAAAGGGATGTTAGAGGGTGAAATATTGTTAACACAAAATGTAAGAGTTTGAGTAGGAGTATCCTGAATTACAAGCCTATCAGTATGTTTTGCAACAAGATTCCTAAGCTCTTCCAAAGCCTTCTTGAATATTTCAAGTTGAGCCCAATTAATCCTATCAATTAAACAAGTCCACCAAAACTAAGCCTTATATTCTTTTTTCAAATGACTCAATTCATCACCAAGCTTCTTTTCAACATCTAGTGTGTTATTGATTTGAGTAAGTTGATCATTAATCTCACACACGTTAGCTTTACGACGAGCCTCAATAAATTGCATGATGTCATTGTTTTGGGGTGGAACTTGAGAGAGATAACGATCTATTATTGTATCAATATTAGGGTGACCAAAATAAAATACCTTTTCACTAGGTGAGAATACAACAAGAGCAATTTCTGCATCATATTAGGTGCAAAGTTTACTGGCTTTCTTGAAGAGTCTGCTACAATGTCTTGAGAAAATCACTTGCAGGTTACTCTCATTGCTCATCTTTTTCATTTCGATCTTTTGACGACCTCGACTTTTTCTTCCGCTTGACATGATCAAAGCACAAATGAAAGAAGAGAAAAAAGAGATGGCATATTTGTAACTTTAGATTAAAAAATGACATATAGAAAATTGGGTATGAAGGAGTCATTTTATAGCCAAATTTTGTGTGTATGTATTTTCATTCTCGTATTGTGATTTATCTTAGAAAACCAAATCGCACAAAATATATTTCAAACGTTGTACATTTTCCTTACATTTAAAACCTACCACATTAATAATTCTCATAAAATCTCTTTTTATATAGCTTTTATGACAAAAAAAATTAATAGATGAAAAATGGCGGCGCACTTTCGTCTATTTGTATATATTTTAGTTTATTTAGAATGATTGATAAGTTACATTAAATATTTCCATAAATTTCAATCATATTATTATTGTCTTTATTTTAAAAATCTAATATATTAAATGAATTTAATTTTTTGTATAAGGTTAAAATATCCGCCACAAATTTTATTTTATTTTTTAAAATATATTTAAAAAAATAATATATATACAAATGGTTTAAAAAATATTATTATAATATTTTAAAATATTATTATTATATTTTAAAAATATTAATTTTGGTACATGATAATACATGTTTATGATTTTTTTTTTAAATGCAAATAATATAATTTTTCAAAACATTATTTTATTAATATTACATTAGATAAGATTTGAAAGACAAGAAGTAGCCCTAAAAAAAGTGACAATTAAATTATTGATAAAAATATGTAAAAAATTAATTTTATGATTCATATATTTGATATTAAATTTTATTTTATATATATATATATATATATATATATATATATATATATATATATATATATATATATATATAGAGAGAGAGAGAGAGAGAGAGAGAGAGAGAGAGAGAGAGAGAGAGAGAGAGAGAGAGAGAGAGAGAGAGAGAGAGAGAGAGAGAGAGAGAGAGAGAGAGAGAGAGAGAGACTGTTGTAACAAACTTCTTGAGAAAGAAACTCTATTCACAAAAATGGATTACAAAATCCTAGCTACAAACTTATTTAAATACACAAAAATAAACTGCCACGTTGGCCCTAACAAAAGTATGCTTAATAGTTAAGCTAACAGCTAAGAATAACTTTTAGAAAATATCAAACTACTTCTTTTAAGTAACAAAATCGGAAGCTCTATTGCTTCTGACTAACAACATGCTTCTGGATATGAATTACTTCTAACACCATCCCTTAATTCATATTCATAAGTATACAACACTAATTTCATCCCTCAAATAGATAAAGTGTTCAGTGTTGACAGCTTTAGTCAGAACATCTGCAAGTTGCTTCTGAGTGCTACAGTGTGCAACTTCTAGCACTCCATTCTGGACTCCACTTCTCAAAAAATTAAACTTAGTGCCAATGTGCATGCTTCTCCCATGTAGCACCGGGTTCTTGGCAAGAGTTATAGTTGATTTGTTGTCAATCATAAACTTCACATGTTCGCTCACTTTGATCTTCAGGTCATGTAACAAATTCATTAGCCAAACAACTTGACATGTAGTTAAAGCACCTGCAATATATTTAGCTTCACAAGTTGAAAATGCAGCCACATGTTTCTTCTTAGAGTACCAAGAAATGAGACTTCCCAAATACTTTAAAAAATATTCAGAAGTACTTCTTCTGTCAACTCCGTCTCCACACTTAATCAGAGTCTGAATAACATATTAGCTCTACATCAATTTTAACACCAGAAGGGAACAACACTCCATACCTCAGAGTCCCTTTAATGTACCTCTGAATCATGACAGTAGCTTGGTAATGTGACCACTTTGGTTTGTTACACAAATATGTCAATGAGCCAACCAACTGTTTGAAAGTTGTAGTATCTATATCATCACCATTAACATCAGAATCCAGCATGTGATTCATCTCGGCAGATGTGATTGCAATCTTGCAATTTGTTAACTCAAATCTCTTCAGAAGCTTAAGTTCATACTTCAGCTGATGCAAAATTATATCCTTCTCAGAGTATAGAATCTTCATTCGTAGAAAATAAACCATATTTCCCATATCAGTCATCTCAAACTCATTCATCAACATCTTCTTGAACTTGACTATCTCTTTTGGATAACTTCTTGTTAGCAATATGTCATTAACATAAAGACACACTAAAATATATTGTCTTCAGAAGTATGTTGCACATGAATGCCATACTCCATCTCACACTTTCTGAATCCTTGCATCTTGAAAAATGAATCAATTTTCAAATTCCAAGCTCTAGGAGCTTGTTTCAGTCCATACAACGCTTTATGTAATCAGTACACCATCCCTTCTTGGTTCTTATTCACAAATCCAGAATTTTGTGACACGTATACTTCTTCTTGTAATGGACCATTCAGAAATGTAGATTTTACATCCAGGTGCATCATAGGCCAATTTCTATTTGTGGTTATAGCAATCATCAACTTGATTGTTTCATTTCTAGCTATAGGCGCAAACACTTCAAAGTAATCTAGTCTATATTTTTGTAAAAAAACCTCTAGCTACTAACCTTGCTTTGTGTTTACCAATTGATTCATCTGGCTTCAACTTTATCTTGAAAACCCATCTGGAACTGATGACTTTCTTCTCCTTATGAAGCTTAGTCAACTCCTAAGTCTTGTTTTTTTTCTATATCCTCAAGTTCTTCTTTCATGCCCTTCAACCACACTTTCTTCTTAAGAGCTTCTTCAACATTAACTGGTTCAGATTCTACTAACATGGCACACTGAATGACTTCTCCCTCAAGGTCTACTTTAGTATATTGCAACATGTCAAACTCTGTGAATCTCCTTGGTATTTATCTGATTCTTTGCAGCCTATGGACTTGTTTAGAATCTCCTTCTGATTCTGGAACCATATCACCTTCTGGATTTCCTTTAGAAGTTGGACCACCTCTATAAGCTCCACCTTCAGAAGAATGAGCACCAGATTCTAGATCATCATCAAAATCTGGATCAGAATCAGATTCACCTTCAGAATAAGAATCAGCTTCAGACTCTTACCCGTCTTCAGAGTCTCCTTATGACTCTGAATCAACTTCAGAATCTTCAGATTTTGAACTATCTTCAGAATATACCTCAGGTGTTAACACTACACTAGAGTTGGATTGAGGCTTGCTCAAATTCCATGCTTCTGACTCCTTCATAATGACATCTATGTTGACTTTAATTTTATTAGTGATTGGACAATAAAGCTTGTATGCACATGTATTGTGGTACCCAATCAGCAACATTACTTTGCTTCTATCATCCAGCTTCTTTCTCTTAGCATATGGAACATGTTTGTAACAAATTAAACCAAATACCCTGAAATGACTCACACTTTGCTTATCTCCAATCCACTTCTCAAAAGGAATAGTTTCCTTCAACTTCTTCGTTGGATACCTATTGAGCACATACGCTGAAGTGGCAATAACTTATCCCCATAAGGTGTGAGGCAATTTCTTCTCTTTCAGTATGCTCCTTGTCATATCAAGTAAAATTCTATTTTTATTTCAGCAAGACCATTATGTTGAGGAGTGTATGGAGCAGTAACCTCGTGTTTAATTTCATTATCCTCGTAAAAATTTTGGAACTTTGTAGAGTTATACTCACCTCCACCATCAGTTCTAAGAACTTTCAACTTCTGACCACTCTATTTCTCAACCTTCACCCTGAACTTCTGAAACTCGATAAACACCTCATGCTTAAACTTGATGAGTGCTACCCATGTCATTCTTGTGAACTCATCCATAAAATACACAAAAAAACTTGTTTCCTCCAAGTGAAGGTCCTGGAAATAGTCTGCATACATCAGAATGCACTACTTCTAGAGCATGCTTTACTCTTGGGGCTACTTCTGACGCAAATGGAAATCTGGGTTGCTTGATTTTCATACATACCTCACATGACTTATCAGGCTTCAGAATCTTCAGAATGCCATGTACCATCTTCTTAGAACTCAGATGCCTTAAGCTTCTGAAGTTCAGATGCCCCAATCTCTTATGCCACAACTCACTATCACCTTTTGCGCTTTCTGCAATAAAGCATTTAGTTTCAGCTTTCTCCACATTCACCTTGAATATTATGTTACTTCCCTGCTCATATTGCATAATCATATTTTGATTGTAGTCATACAACTTCAAAAGATTGTTCTTCATGATAATTGAGAAACTTTTCTCAATGAGTTGGCCTACACTTATCAGATTACTTTTCATACCAGGAACATATCAAACATCTTTGATTAGAACAGTTCTTCCATTCTTCACTTTGACTCTGACATTTCCTATACCTTCTTCATTAAGGTACATACATCAGCATATCTGATCTTTGTCCTCTTTCTGGAGTCAAAATCAACTAACCATTGTTTGTTTCCAGTCAAGTGATTTGAGCAGCCAGTGTTCATATACCCTTAGTCTATCAAATACTTACCATTAGACTCAGAAGCCACCAGTTGCACATGTTCATCATCACAATCTTCTTTGGCTATGTTTTCTTCTTATGATTTTCTTTCCTTGTTTGACCAAAAATCCTTAGCAAAGTGTCCAAACTTCTTACAATAATAACATTGAACCTTCTTTTTGTCAAACTTCTACCTTCCCTTCTGATGTTTCTTCTCATCAAAATTGGAGGCTTGACTTCTGGGAACCACCGTGTCTCTTCTTGGGCTCTTGCCAAGACTGCTTCTGATATTTCTTACCATAAGACTCCTTTAGAGCATGCTCTACCTCTCTCTCAGAGGTTCTCTCAGTCATGCGTAACTCTTGTGCCTCTAGACTACTTTTCAGCTCTTCAATTCTCATGGTGTCTAGATCTTTAGAATTTTAAATTTCTACAACAATGTAATCAAATTAAGGAGTAAGAGATCTCAATATCTTCTCAATGATTACTTGTTCAGAAAGAGTTTCTCCACATGATTTCATCTTATTTATGATCAGAATCACTCTAGAGGTGTAATTTGGTACCTTCTCATTATTCTTCATGTTGAGATTCTCATACTGCTTACATAGGGATTGAAGCTTCACCTTCT